ATGCACAAGGAAAAGGAGTGTGGCCGAGGAGTGACAATCTAGGATGAAGTGAGACAGCCTGAAAAGGTGATCCGATACGTCGAGACAGAGAATGAATGTTGGAGGCCGCAGCTTTTAGAAACTTTAGTAAAGCCAAATGGAAGAAGGCACCCAGCGTTAAATCCCGCGGCCAGTGGGGCGAGATGGAAGTTAGTCTTCCTATGCAGGAGAGAACTTATTTACGGGGGGAGGAGATCTTCAGCTTTCATCTACAGACTTTTAACAAGCCTGCAATCCATCCTACATGTAATTCGAGACTGGCTATTAATATGGGCAGATTTCTTCCCGCTGGCTCTCTGTGTGACTCTGTGTCACAGTGCAAAGCATTGACTCAAAGTAGCATGAGCTGAAATTGCAGAAATTAGCCTGCTGGGCACTGATATGACTAACGAGATGTGCGGCTCACAGTAAATACCAACCCTGTCTTGCTCATGCGCTGGTAATGTGGCAAGCATCCCGCTGCGGCCTCCACGCTTGTTCCCCGGCCTTCAAAGTGAACATCCTTTGTCCTTTTGTCAAAGACGCGGCGCTGCCGGTGAGCAGGAAGTCATCGCGCGCGAACACAAGGAACGAAACGTTTGCACAGATCGGTGGTCATGTAGTCGAGGAATTTAAATGTTAGTGGCTCAACACTGATGGTTGATTGCAAGGAAAATCAAGTGGAGTTAATTGAGCGGAGAAGAAGGCCGGGGTGAGAGGAAAACAGGTTTTATTAAAACGACCAAAGGTTTCAAACTTTTTCCACAGTGACCCTGCGGGTCCTATTTTCACGCCCAAAGTAAACGTAGGGCAAAGCAGAGTCGAACTGCGCATACAGTAGTAGGTGTTTTTTCTTTTGGTATTTTCATAGACGTGCCGGGAGAAAGGGGCCTGTGCGCAGTTGTGGGAGCGAGCACAGGGCCGCTTGGAGCCCGCCTTCTACCCCCGGTCGTGTGTCAGTGTTCATGATTTTGGTCCCTTCTTCACACGGAAGTGCATCAGGCGAGTTATCCAAGATAAACGTGGGCGTACTACTACTACTAATAATAATGATAAGAAAAATACATATAATTCATAGTGTGCTTTTGATTGAAAGTTAAAACATTGGCAGGAAAAGGGAGCAATAGAAGTCGCTCACTGAGGCTTTGGGTCTCATGTGGACTAAAGTGGGGGACGAACTCCAGCTCCCATTCATTTTAATAATATATAATAATATATATATTTTTTTGCCTCAACTGTTATAGCTGCCCTTGTAATTTGTCATTCGTCCCATCAGCTCCGAAACAGACGTGCACATTTAATGTCATCCCGCAGGCTCCAACTGGCTGCTTAGCGCTGCTGATTAAACAGCATGTCAAGTGTAGAACAAGGGCCAGTAGCTAGGCAACAGTTTTTCAGGCTAGCCTCAGCTCTTCTCAAATCACCCTTTACTTTTTTTAAAAAACTTTTTTAACATGTTTTATTTTTTTCACATCACTAAAGTCCCCGTGACAATGCTGTCATTCACTTCGATTTGTGTTATTTTATCATCGCCGCCACTGCTGCAGCAAGGCTATCGGAATGTGAAAGCCCCGTCGTCGTATATGGGTTGTAATAAAACCACTATTTCATATTCACTGCCGTAAGCTGATGGGAAGCGTGAAATATGTATAAAAATGACCGCCCATACAGAACTGATTGCATCAGAGGCGACAACAGGGCGGAAGGCTCGGTAGAAGTGGAATGTTGAGTAATTGGCTGCAGCAGTCGAGAATGAACCAAACGGGAATAATTCATTCAGTCGGCTAATACAGTACAAATTCAATGCCTCCATTTTTATTGTCGTGTCTGAGCAGTGATTTCTCTGCTCAGAGCATCTCCGTCATTTTTCAGTGGGCTTGATGTCGAGTTGGCTGCAAAAAAAATAAGCCAAAAGATTACATTAGCATGGTAGAGCGTGAGTTGGTGTGTTTTAGCTAAATTAAGACCCTGTCCCTGTTGAAAGTTTTCTCTCCTCTGCTTCGCACTCGCCCAAAATGCTCGCATTATCAAGCAAATTTATCTTGCGGGGCTCGAGTACGTGGCTGGATTTAGACTCGGGGGCCGCTGTCAGGCTTTATCGAGCGCTCCCTTTTCTTAGTGGGAAGGGAGGAGACGCCCTTGCCAAGCGGAGCTGGCGCTCTGACAGTCGCCCTCGACGTCTTTACTGCTTCATCCTTCGCTGACTTCCGCATATGCTCACAGCACATACACGCACTCGTACAGTGATGAGCCGTGTCAGATTGGTCATTAGTTTCGTCGCAGGGGTCGGACGTGTTTGGCGCTAAACTCGCCGTACGTCCCCGGTGACCCTGAAATCTCAACTTTGACGGTGCTTGTCACTTCGGTTCTGTTAGCGCACCCTTAAGAAGAGGAAAACATTTTGTGCCCCTCACTCAACTCTCCGCCGCGACTATAAATAGGATCATTTGTTTGGACACATTGTATCCTTATTAACATGATCGGAAAAAAAAAGGTATGATAGATCAACTTACAACAAAGAATAACTCGAACCGATGTGAAGTGCATCAAAATGCCTGAAATTCAAGCAAAAATTAAATGAGAGCGCCACTGCCACCTACTGTGGTGGATGTGCAATTACTTTTTAGTCATGTAAGGCAAAAACACAAAAACATGTTCACGCGGTCACATGTACCCCACTGGCATCTCACCGCGCCCCTGCAATCCGACATGGATTCTTAACGCCATTCTGCCATTTGAATTTGGCTCTTGGACCTGCAGTGTAAATCCTGCCAAAGACACCCCCTTTCCTTTTTTTTTTTTTTTTTTTTTTTAATGCTAACAGCTCTGGGTGACTCATCTGCGCTCTTCTTCTTTTCTCATTCAACTGGCAGCCAGATGGGGAGTTTGTGTCACCGGTAGTGGTACTCGTCGGTCATCAACGAATGGCCACCGCTACCTGCAAGCTTCTCACACCACCGGCGCAGAAGGCGTTAGCAATGAAACACGGGCCGTCAGCGGTCGATGCGACCGCCGATTCTCCCTCTGTTGCCTCCCGGCAGTTCTTTTTCCGCGACGCTTTTATGGTTGAGGTGATAAGCTGTGAGAGAATTCCTTCCGTGCCCGCCTTGCGAAGAAGAGCAATGTTAGTTTTTGTAACGTCCGTGTTTGCCGTTGGCTCACCGATTTTGTGATTACATGTGTTTATGAAAGCTGTCTGTTTCCGTTTGTGGCGGCGCAAGGATCAATCACAGGTCAGAAAAGTGAAAGATTTTGCTAATGCGTGTTCTCAAACCCCAAATAACTTGTTCTTGTACACAATGCTACAACCGTGCTTGTGGCACCGTTGGGAAAAACGCGCAGTTGTTGTAAGTGAATTGGGCTTGGTTCATACTTGGATTGGAGACCACCCAATTAACACCAGTGATTGATCAGAGTCGCTGGTATGATGTTTACAAACCCCACAGCGAACCTCAAAGTTGAGTTTCTTGTCGGCATAGCTCAGACTGCAAATTAGGGCGAGAAACTATTAAGGATTTAAAAAAAAAAAAGTGTTGATAAGAGAGGTTAAAAACTGACCTCTCTTTATCTTCCTTCTCCCTTTAATTCCTCCACACTCTCGATATTGAAGTTCTTTTGAAGCCTTTGAACTCTGGCGACTTTTTTTCTGTGCTTTGCCAACACACATAATTATTGAATCGCTACAAAACAGACGATGATACGAACAAAAGTCAGTTTTGGAGGGAGCATTTCTGTTACCAGTCATTCTCAAGTGTCATGCAAGAGTGAAAAGAGGTGAATCACCAGAAAAAAACAGTAGGTGCATTCAGTATGTTTGCGTGTGCTTCAAAAAAAAAAAAAAAAGTGAATCACTATAACAAAACAGTAGGTCGCATTCAGTATGTTTGTGTGTGCTTTAAAAAAAAAAAAAAGTAAACCAAACTCAAAGAATGCTCATAAATCCTTTAACCATTTGAGCGACAGCGGTTGCTAAAGTGGACAGTTTATGATGTTATCAGGTTACAGGGTGCATGAAAGGGTTCATCTGGTGGTCTTTTACTTTTTTGGCACGAATGCCCCCTGACTCTTTTTCTCCTGGCACGTACAACCTTCCATCGATCGAGCTTGATTTCTACGTATGCGCCAGCCTCTGGTTGTCGGTAAACAACTTTTCATCAAGTCAATATTTTCATCAAATTCACCTCCTTTTTCTATTGAACCCTTTCATGCAGCAGTAATGATAACCTGTAACCTGGTAGCGTGATAGGCTGTCCACTGTAGTAATTGCTGTCTCTAAAAGGGTTAAAGTAAAAAAAAACAAAAAAAAAAAACACCTGGATTATTTAATCCGAGGACAGCCGTTGATTTTGTAAATCTGTGTTTTTACAAATCAATCAGATGGGTGAGCTGTTACTTTGCCGCTGCCAATGAGCTGCATTGTGGCGTTGCTTTATGTTCTCTCCGCATCGAGTCGAAATGTCAGACAAGTCTGCAGATGGAGGCCGTTTCGCCTCACAGCAGCAAACACGAACCATTAAGCACGTAGCAATAACAGGGCACGCTGATGTCAACTGTGCTGCAAATGGAGGCCTCTTAAAATCACATTTTATCATCTTTGGAATCGAGCTCTTTATTGAAATTCCAGAGGGCTCTTCACCTCTTTGCGTGGAAGGAAGAATATCTGCGCTGAATGTATTTTAAAAACGGCTTGTGAAGAACACTTCATAATTGTTCATTCAGTAGCTGCTGTGGCACTCAGGAGTGGGAAGACCTACTTCACAAAGGTTAAAAAACTGATTAAAAAATATAGCGGGCTGCTCGAAACTGCAACCTTTAAAGTCGGAAGCTTTGAGCACATGCAAACATCCACCCTTTTGTTTTGTTTTTTTAATGGCACTTTATTAATTTTATCTCCTGGCCACCACTTCTTCGCTTTCCATCGTTTCCAGTACCCCATCTCACGTTTCATTCTCATCATGTGTAAATCATGTATGCAATTGCAGACAAATCGGTCTATGGTGGGAAGGATGTCGAAGGGATGGATGCTAATGAGACACCTGCTGGAGTCATCGCAAGTCCTCGCAGGCCATTGATGTCAGAAAGGTCATAAATTCGCTATTTAACAGCAGGTAAAGCTGCTGCTTGTCTTTGACAGAGCGGCGTTTGTTAATTACTATTAAAAGCTAAACAGGTTCTTGTGTATCTGCTATAAAAAAAGGTGCTTTCAAAGCACAAACCTGCAACAACCTGTAAAACTCAATATTATACTGCCATCTAGTGTTTAAAAGGGGTCGATGCAAGAGACGGACCTCATTTGCATGATGCTGGCTCGGGGGGGATATTTGAGAGGGCTTTTTTTGTTATGTTAATGAGTATATTATTAAAATGAGGACATATAAAGCCACTGTCTCCACTCATTGGTTAATCTTCGGCAGGAGAAACGGAAGACGTTGGTTGTCCTTTGTCACACGCAGCGGTGGCCTGGTCTAGTACGTCCCTCGGTCCCATGCTACCCCTCATAGGTCAGTCTCGGGACTGATTCGGGTGGAGACTTCGCAATTGTCGATGGAGATAAGGTGTTTAACTGAGGTGTTTCACCGGAAACGATACAGCCGAGTCGTGTGCCGTGAGAGGAGAGGAAGCCACTCGAACAAAGCTCCATTGGTTTTGAGTGTGAAGAAATGTAATGTGTGCGTTTTGCCACACGGTGGTAGTGCTGGACCATCTTTACTACTCAGGACCACTTCAAGTGAGATCTCTTTTGGCACTTTGCCCCTGTGAAAATAGGAAGGATGTTTTGATGTTATTGGGCAGCACGTTGGAATGTACCCAATAGTCCGGAGAGTTCAAATCTCCGCTCCAGAATTTCTGTGTGGCGTTTACAGGTTGCTTAAAACTACATGAAGAATTGGGATTATTTGGCAGGATTACAATTTCTCATCACCAATTCATTATTTCACATTGATGGGCACTCTCCCCTATTTTGCCGGTCCGTCCTTCGCCCGCGAGCTGTTTGGAGTCAGTTTGCAATCAATAGCAATTTCTGCAGCGACGTTCGTCAACTGAGAGTGACTGCCGATTCATCTGAATCTTGCTCTGTGAAATACCGAATTAGCAGGACTCACCCAGTCAGGACTGCTGAGTGTGGTCATGTGCAAACTTTACCCCCACACTTAACTGTAGCGTGACTGGCTCGGCCAGTGGGCGAATAGTACGTCCCTCGGTCCCATGCTACCCCTCATAGGTCAGTCTCGGGACTGATTCGGGTGGAGACTTCGCAATTGTCGATGGAGATAAGGTGTTTAACTGAGGTGTTTCACCGGAAACGATACAGCCGAGTCGTGTGCCGTGAGAGGAGAGGAAGCCACTCGGACAAAGCTCCATTGCTTTGAGTGTGAAGAAATGTAATGTGTGCGCTCCGCCACACGGTGGTAGTGCTGGACCATCTTTACTACTCAGGACCACTTCAAGTGAGATCTCTTTTGGCACTTTGCCCCTGTGAAAATAGGAAGGATGTTTTGATGTTATTGGGCAGCCCGTTGGAATGTACCCAATAGTCCGGAGAGTTCAAATCTCCGCTCCAGAATTTCTGTGTGGCGTTTACAGGTTGCTTAAAACTACATGAAGAATTGGGATTATTTGGCAGGATTACAATTTCTCATCACCGATTCATTATTTCACATTGATGGGCACTCTCCCCTATTTTGCCGGTCCGTCCTCGCCCGCGAGCTGTTTGGAGTCAGTTTGCAATCAATAGCAATTTCTGCAGCGACGTTCGTCAACTGAGAGTGACTGCCGATTCATCTGAATCTTGCTCTGTGAAATACCGAATAAGCAGGACTCACCCAGTCAGGACTGCTGAGTGTGGTCATGTGCAAACTTTACCCCCCACACTTTACTGTAGCCTGACTGGCTCGGCCAGTGGGCGAATGCTATTTTCAAGCTTAATCAGTTGACCTTTATACCTGTGTTCTTTTTTTCCTTTCTTTTCAGCCTGCAGCAGCATATAAATAATGTACTGGGCATGTCCATAGTGTATATTGCAAACAAACATTTACACTCATGTATGGATACATAGTGTATATTGCAAACAAACATTTACACTCATGGACAGTTTCCAGTCTTAAATTTCAAACTCCACACAGGAAGGCTGGACCTGAGATTTGGACCAATTTTGCTTGAAACTTCAAAACATTTTTTTTTTTTTTTTTATTTACTGCTAGTCACTTAAGTGGCTATTCCATTGACCAAATGCTCATTATGTGGGAATGCTCCAACCACAGCACCAATCTTGTTTGACCTTCACGCTAACAAAAACAATCCCCTTTATTTGTTTTCTGCTTCTGAATTCAAGGCACATCCTGTTATATTTACACAATTCTTCACAGCCCTTAAATGTTTCAATGAGTGTCTCTGAGATGAAGGAAAGTTAAATCATTTTTTTTTACAAGATGTTTGAACCAATCTGGCGGCAACTCTCAAGCAAAATAATTCATCACGTTTAAAAATCTGTCAACAGTCGGTGACGCATCCTGACTTGAATTCCCTCTCTTCTGTACTTGCTGCAACGGGGGCGTCGTTATCCTCATCAGTTTGGATATATTCCTCCTGTTGTGAATACAGTCGATAAGATCACCAGAGCCGCTTTGCTTTGGCTTTATCTCTAAAAAGAAAAATACATTTAACTGTGCCAACTGTTATGAAGAGGAGCGCACTTCGGGAAGGACCCTGTAATTTTCAGTGTGATAGTCAAGGGGTCATATTGGGGAGAATTGACATTTAGATTGGAGGGAAATATAGGCGGGAATTGTGTGCCTGGCCACCATCAAGTCAGGAATTAAACCAAGCCTTGTGCTGTCTTTCTACTCCCCCACCCTCCACAACGGAAGACAGATCTGCTGCTAAAACGAGTTTATTTCATCATGGCAAGAGATATGCTGCACAAATATAGATCGATATTTTTGATGAAAGTATGTCACAGGCTTGCTGTTCAAGGAACTGTTTTAAAATGTGGTTGAGTAATATTCTCGCTGCTCTTTCAAGTGTCAAACGATGTGCCATCTTGTGCGGGTGTGTTGAGGGGGAAAGTGGGGCTTGTTGACAGTCGTCCTCCACTCCAGGACAATTTGTCATGAAAAATTGTAGTACACCATCCCGACACTTGGGGACGTGCTGCAATTTGTCCATTCGCTGGTCCGCCGGGCTCACCATCAGTCAAGAGATCAAAACCGGAAGCAAAACTGTACTGCCTTCAAAATAAATGATGGAATATGAAACGAATCAGTCGTCAGGCAATATAACTACATCCATCCATTTTCCAATCTGCTTATCCTCACAAGGGGCACGGGGGTGCTGGAGCCTATCCCAGCTGTCTTTGGGCGGGGGACACCCTGAACTGGTTGCCAGCCAATAGCAGAGCACACAGAGACAAACAACCATCCATGCTCGCACCAACACCTAGGGACAATTTAGAGTGTTCAATCAGCCTGCCATGCATGTTTTTGAATTGTGGGAGGAAATCGGAATACCCGGAGAACATGCAGACTCCACACAGGGAGGCTGGAGCTGGAATTGAACCCGCTACCTCTGCACTGTGAGGTCAATGCACTAACCACTTTGTATAAGTACTGGATTAAAAAAAAAGTATAGTAATTGATTGCTGATCTTAAAATATTAAAATTAGTATTAATATGACCATTTGTATTCAATAACAGAATCCTCAAGACTCTGTTGATTCATGTCAAGAAAAACAGTGCAGTGTCATACATGGTAATATATAAAATAAAATTGATGTAATGCAGGAAGAGTATCGTAACGACAACAAAAATGCATAAAATGGAACGATAGCTGCCACAGTGCCACCATCTGATATGCCATACGGAATGAAAAAATAATTAAAAAAAATATTTCTAAATGTAATTGTTTCATGTCATCATTGAGCTAGTTAATACAATAGTAGTAATCCTACATTTAAATGTTCAGAAGTAACATTCTTCATTGTATTCGTCGTCCTGAGGGTGTTTTTCCAAATACTGCAGGTCAAGGAAACAACCACATTAATAACGTCTTCTAAAGTCCAAAGCAATAAAAATTACCATAATTTTTTGTTTGTACATTAGCACTGTACGATTAAAATATTTAGCACACCGCTGCATGGCTATACAAACGCACTCTCGCTAGTAAATTATTGTGAAAAGCCCTTTCCGGAAGTGGAATCCTACCCGCTTCCCTCGTGAATTTTGACGCCGGCAGAAACCCACAGTCCAGCCTCACTGCTCGTACTCTAAAAAAAATATTTCTAAATGTAATTGTTTCATGTCATCATTGAGCTAGTTAATACAATAGTAGTAATCCTACATTTAAATGTTCAGAAGTAACATTCTTCATTGTAAAAAAAATATTTCTAAATGTAATTGTTTCATGCCATCATTGGGCTAGTTAATACAATAATAGTAATCATACATTTAAATGTTCAGAAGTAACATTCTTCATTGTATTCGTCGTCCTTAGGGTGTTTTTCCAAATACTGCAGGTCAAGGAAACAACCACATTAATAACGTCTTCTAAAGTCCAAAGCAATAAAAATTACCATCATTTTTTGTTTGTACATTAGCACTGTACACTTAAAATATTGAGCACACCGCTGCATGGCTACACAAACGCACTCTCGCTAGTAAATTATTGTGAAAAGCCCTTTCCGGAAGTGGAATCCTACCCGCTTCCCTCGTGAATTTTGACGCCGGCAGAAACCCACAGTCCAGCCTCACTGCTCGTACTCTTTACCCCAGTGTCTGAGTTCCTCTCTCGTCCCCGTCTCTTGTTTGCACTCATCGTTCCCCCTTGCATCCACAGAGTTCGCCTGCCGCCTCGTCAGACCTGATCGGATGCCTCTGGAAGCCAGGATTGCACGGCCAGGGAAGCACGGCGTTTC